AAAAAATGTTTATTAACAAATATATATCGTCTTCGTTGACGAAAATAACATTGCTCTACAATAGGTTAATCGACTTCACCAGCTACTGTAATTACTCTTCAACAGCGATGAAATGACGAAAGTTCAAACACAAAATTCTAAAGATGGCTCTGCGTTTGTTTCTCTGGCGCATAAGGTCTGCAATTCCAAAATAAAGATTTAAACACAGACACATTAAAGATTAGCGGACAGACTGGCGATTCATTAAATGATAAGCTGTTTCCACTGGAAAGCAGATTATTCAGTGTTCTGGTGCATCTCCTCCACTGACATGCATTTAAAAAATGTCTTCTCTCCTTGCCTAAAAAAAGGCCTCTGCTATCAGCACAATGAAACATTCTCTTTTAATAATGCAAAGTTGTGCAATTTGTAAGGGGGGCAAAACAGGTACAAAAGTCTGATACTTACACTGTTGCTAATAATAATAATTACATTTTATAAGATTAATATCACATTTTTAATTATGATGGTTTATTTATAAATATGGTGATCATCTCCAAGGTAGATACCCAACTTAAAAATATGCTTCAGTTATTGAAAAATGCATTTAATCTCCTTGAACTGAAAATTATTAACAAGACCTTTGTCTCAAAATATATTTGGTCATTTTAATGATTCGCATTTGCTACATAAATCTATAACCTTTTAAAAAACAGTAAATATTAGATCAACTTAGCAAAGAATTGACTTTGCATTGCTGTTTGTGATCACATCAAGGATCAGCCAAACTTCTAGGTGCACAGCGAAACGCTGAAAGTGTTTCAAGAAAGTGCTACTGTGAGCTTTGCCATCTAGAGGGATAGAAGAAAATCAAATCAAATGCACCCTTTATTCTGTTCCGCCTTTAGCCCCATTGTACCCTATATTAAAATTTGAGACGCATAGCACAAAATACTACATAATCACAGACGTGGAACCAAATTGTGTTAAACAAACAAAAAAACACTCATGTCATTCTATGCTTTATTTTTACTGTGTTTTAGTGCTGTGCAGGGTTGGCAATGGAAGTGCTGAGCATCTGTAAGAAGCTGGAATTAAATCCTCAAATACTTCAAAGACAAAATGCAAGATGATGAAATAAGCTGTGCCACTCCATTTCGAACCACTCACACCACAGTTTATGGGAAGAGAGAGCTCAGTTACCTCCTCATAAAGAAATGAATCAAAGAGATACTGACCATTTAAGACTGCAAAGTACACACACCCATGACACACTATTCATCTCTCACAAAATAAAGCTATTTGTATTTTTATAGCAACCAGTCTATTTGTGACAACTGGAAAAAGGCCTTAAGTTTTATTTTCTGCGTTAGCTACACAATGCATGGCTGACTGTATAATATTTGCATGAGGATGCAGTGACCTTATTTGACGTTGCATTATTTTCTGCTGTACACCTGTTTGAATCCTGGTAAAACAGCCTGAAGAAACCACCCCTCACCATTTTTAGCAGCAAGGCCACTAATGAGTACGTGTCCCATGTGGCATTTTTCTGCGGTTGCTAAAAGACAAGAGAGGAACTGAATGTGCAGTCTTAAAAGGTCATCAAAAAACCAAGCTGAACCTAAACCCAGTGAATGTGGAACTCTGCAAGATCATCATATGCAACCTTTTAAGCATACAAAGCTCTTTAAGAATGAACTAAATGGGAGCGTGGTGAAAGCTGTGCCACTTTTTCCTCTTTTCTTTACCCTCTATACAACCATAAATGAGACTGAGGTAAAGCTAATACAGTACTCAAAATTATATTCCATTATGTCCACAGTGATGTGAACTGTTATCAACTGAAATTAGAAGCATCTATGACACAGGGTCACAGACATGTGCAATTTCAAATTAAAGACAGGCAGTGCTTCTGTTGAGCTGTCCTCGTGGACTACACACATAAACAGACAGCTTGACCATGAACAAATAAATCTTATGAGACTTGCCAAATGATTGGAATCAGTCAAACAGCTCTTTCACTGAATATATTACACAGAATCTGTCAGAGCAGGGGGTAAGAACTGAGAGAAAACAGTAGCAGACGCGTTTACTCTGTGGCACCTCTACAAATCTCCCCACGAAAAACAAGCTGAACTTTATTCCATTTTTTAGAAAGCAGCCTGGAAATTGGAAAATTTCCCAATGCAGTACATTGTAAAGAAACAACTTTCAATGTTGGATCTCTCAGTAAGTACTTGAAAGCCAATTTCTGTTTAGTAAACTATCGATTTTCACTATATTTGAAACTAATCGAATGAGATAATCAAATAATTAAATAAAATTGAGCTGAATGATGACACTTTATGGTTTTCTATAGAGCCACTTTATCATTGAAAATAATTTTGTAATTATAACTCAATTTATTAATTCCTAATTGATGAATTTTGCAACATTAATGCAGTTTTTTTCCTGTTCACTACTGTAAAGCTGCTTTGAAGCAATCTGTATTATATAAAGCACTATATAAATAAATGTACAATTAACTTTTTAGTACTTACCAGCCAATTTGGCTACTAAACGTTTAAAATACTGCTGAAATATAAAATTAATTTTCAAGGTTAATCTTTAGCCAAAGCATGTATATGGTTTTACTCTAAATTCACAAGTATGTGTTGTACATTAGATCTGAATAAGTGCTTTAACTTAAAATAATTTGACCAGTTATGTATAATCTCCTTTGAAATTAAAAAAGCATACAGAAACAACAAAAAATGCTAAAAATAAATAAATAAGAATATTTTGTATCTTTTGCTAGATTAAGGCTGAGTAGCTAACTCACTGGCACATTTTAACGCACTCTATCTGATTTATTTATTATCTGCTTTTTCCACTAACTGAAACACAATCAACAGACAGATCGAAGATCCTCGGCACAAATGAGCAGATAAAGGTAAAATAAAGGTCATGCTTTGTGACCACAAGTGCTGAACCATAAGTACTTTCTCTGGAAAGCTGCAGGTTTTTATTTGGTTTCCTATGTCTGCATATGCTATTCTTCCTCACAGCTAAGAATAAAGACCTTATGCCAAGCAGAACTACAGATTGTAAGAGAGGTACAATTAAAAACTCAATGGATGAGAAACGGTAGGATAGAAGAATGAATGGCAAAAGAGTTAAACAGGGCGTTGGGTTTAAGGGTGGGATTTGGTTAAGATTTAAGAGTCTCAGACGCCAGTTCCAAAGTAAGTCTTCCCTTAACTCGTCCCCGGAGGCTGTGGAAAACTGTGGATGTAACAATCTGTCATTACAGAAACCCCAACCAAGCTTCCAAATCTCTTGGAGTGAAGGAAAAGGACTTCAGAATCTGTGCTTCACTCAAAGACATTTAGATGTGGTGAATACTCTGTAAAATAACACATACATATCTAAGCATGCTCGACACATTCATCAAGCAAACTAGGCTAGTTGACAAACCAGTCTTAAAGGGGTCATATGATGCGATTTCAAGTTTTCCTTTCTCTTTGGAGTGTTACAAGCTGATTGTGCATAGATAAGATCCCTGAAGTTGCAAAGACTAAAGTCTCAAAACCAAAGAGATACTTTATCAAAGTTAAGACTCTGCCACACCCCCCTAAAATGGCTCGTTCTAACACGCCCCCACATATCTACCTCACTATGTGGAAATATTTGCATAATGAGGCCCCCATCATATGACCCCTTTAAGAAATCTCTGTGTTGTTAGGTTAGTTTACCTCCTTTTGATTGGATATGTTTCTTAAGGCCTGGACACACCAAGCCGACTTCAAAGAACTAGCGGTGACGAAAGCCAACGGTGTTGTCGCCTTGCATCGGCAGCGTCGGACCAAAAAGCTACGCTTGAACACACCGCACAGACTACAGCCGATGGCAAACTAACATGTGCGCTCTGCGCATGCATGAGAGGAATTAACTGTCTATATCAGCAGCTATCAATAGTATATATTCGTCATTCAAAAGGAGAAACCAAAACAAAGATATATGAGATAAACGCAGATATACGAAACGTAAACAAAGCAGCACTTGCTTACCATTTTGAATATCAGTTGATAACTTTAATCATTTTAAGCGGCTCATGTTGTTATGAAAACATTTGCGTATTAGAATGATTGGGAAAGATCACGTAACATTTAAACAGCCTTCTGTCTTTACTGCCTTCATTCACATGCTTGTTTTCATCACTTTTGCTTTAATTCTCGGGCACTGACTCGTTCGCTAAACTGAACATCCAATCAGAGCTCTCACTCGCGCCGACAGCCCCGACGCCGGAATCGGGCAAACTGCCGCCGACGTGAGCCCGACGAGAGCCGACGAGTGGAACACACCAATCAAACTAGCCCGACCGTCGGCTTGGTGTGTCCCGGGCTTTAGGGAACATTTAGTGATCTCGGGACACTTTGTTTTTTTTAAAGGAGTCATATGATGCGATTTAAATTTTTCTTTTCTCTTTGGAGTGTTACAAGCTCTTGGTGCATAAAAAAGATCTGTAAAGTTGCAAAAACTGAAGTCTCAAATCCAAAGAGATATTCTTTATAAAAATTAAGAGTCAACCGCCTACCTAAAATGGCTCGTTCTAACACGCCCCCACATGTCTACGTCACGATGTGGGAAGATTTGCATAACACCGCCCAAATGTTCACGCAAAGAAAGAAAGTGTAACTTTTCATCAACAGTATGGTGAGGGGCATAACATTTCCGTCTCACGCTTGAGGTATTCGGCCAATCACAATGCATTGGATAGCTGGCCAATCACAGCACACCTCGCTTTTTCAGACCGATGAGCTTTGTAAAAATCGACGCGTTTCAAAAAGGCGGGGCATAGAGGAGAAACAAAAAGTAAAGTTTTTTACTTTAAACCGCATAAACACATTTCATTACACCAAATACACAAAATAATGTTCTTTTTAGCAGCATCATATGACCCCTTTAAGACATTTTGTTAAGGAAAAAAGACTGCAAAAGGATTTTACTTAAGTTTACGCATGCATATTTTGATGTAAAAATATCTTTTATTATTATAAATGTTTTGAATATTCTACCTTAGATTTGTGAAATGTTCACCTGTTTGGCAAGTGTTTGTCATGTTCTGACAACTTTCACTCAGGGGAAGAAATCTGCCTTTAATAAATAAAGATTTGACATTTATTGTGATAATTATCAATATTGACTGATACAAAAAAAATGTATCATGATAATTTTGGCCATATCGCCCGACCCTAATTCACTCTCACTGCCATGTTCAGTTCAAACTTCAACATATTTTTTCTCATTATTGACAAGGGAACCCCAGGAGCAGGTTGGACAAAATAAATCAATATTGCCTCCAGTTGGCCAATTCATCTACCTTATATTCCTGTAGAGGCTGACGTTTCAAACCTTCAGTGCAAATTTCACAGGTCACCCATTTCAGCCTGGTCTCATGTTTATACGTAGGTATTAATACGTAACATTTACAAGCACAAAACGTACACTTTTGTACGTTTTTAGTCATGCTAAAACGTACAATTTAGACGTATTTCAACGTTTAAAACGTACAAATTTACAGTTTGTTCTGTACATTCTGTTTTAAGGAGGAAAAAAGCTATTTATGCTTGAACCCCAAAAACAAGAGAATCTCGCAAAAACAAAACGGTTTCTAGAACTTTGTGCTTGGACCCCTGTGCCACGCTGGCAGTCATGTCTGTAAACAGTGATCAGCCGTCAGAGAGAAAAAGCTGAGCCATAAGGAAATAGACTGAGCAGAAATCATCTGGTATACAGGAGCCCATTCCGACCTGGCAGGCACACCTTCACCATGGATTGTAGCAATCTGCTGATAAATGACTCTGCAATTTAACCATATATTCTCCCATAAAATCTTCAAAAGATTGAAGTGGGCAACCCTCCCTTAAACCTAGCCAATGATGATTGTAGCTGCTGTATGAGTCAGTAAGATGCAGAAGTCAGTAATTCCTTCTTAAATCAAACACTTTCACTTTCTCACGCTCATTAAAATACAGAGGGCAAAGGCAGTTCTTAGGTTAATGACAGGCAAAGTAAAATCCATCCAAATTGAAAGGATTAACTTCTATACACTATTAGAAAGATGTAGATTTGACATAGGATTTGGAATAATGCAGATGAAAATATTAAGATCTTAGTTAGGTTTTCCCCTTCAACATTTTGCCTGTTGCCTTTTGGCTTGCTTATTTTGGGACACTTGATATATGACAGCATTATCGGCTTGATTGCACAGACACTAATGGAAGAGAACTGAACTGAGCTGGATGACGACGTCAATGCTTACAGGCAGGTGTGTTGGAGCAGGCTTGAAGCTGAAATCTGCAGAGCAATAGCTCTTCAGGAGCAGGGTTGGAGATCCCTGTCATTCCTTACATTTGAAATATGGATATTTTTCTTATAAAAACGCATGGATTCACTACAGAAGGCCTTTATTCACCCACCAGAGTCATGTGAGGGATGTTTTATAAAGAATGTGTGCGCTTTATTTGACAACTTGTGGACTGTTCAACTGCAACACCCGCTGACTGCAATGATAGAGCTTGGAATAGCCAGGACAATTTTTAATATAACTCTGACTGGATTCGTCTGAAAAAAGAAAGTCATATACACCTAGGATGCTTCAAGGGTGAGTAAAACACAAGCCAATTTTCATTTTTGAGTGAACTAACCCTTTAAAGGCGGGCGTACACGGTGCGATTCTGAAGGTCGGAACATCGTGAGCTCTGGCACGTCACGATTGAGTTTATCCAAAAATCGTACGGAGGCAGTCACACACGACATGAATTTACTACGATTTTACAAACTCTGACGTAAAATCGTTCATAAAAATATGGATTCTGAGGACGAAATAGTTTTCTTTGTGGCAGGCGGCTTGTGACGTCCAAAAAAAAAAAACACAGAAAAAGGACATGGCAAAGAGAATGGCTGAAAAGTAGAGAAAAGCAGGGACTTCTGTTCTTCATAAAGAACTCGAGGGAGTAGGCCATTTCTGAATTTCTGCTCGTTTTGCCGGAAATACAACAGGCATATTCATTCATAAAGCTGAACGGCAAATTTGGCACATTCAGAAAAACAAATAAAAAATAGAACTGTATAATTAAACTAAAATTATTATAGACTATATGGTTTTTGTCATCTTCTGATTGGTCAACTTCAGATGGATCGCCAAATCGTCTCGTTCAACCGCACATACGCCACGAATTTAAACCGACAGCATCCAAATTTTTGTTTGAAAATTATCGGGAGGACGGGAGGTGCTCGTAACGTTCTCGGATCGGGCCGTAATTCTTCTCACACAGTACGAGCCGTGACCATGCGAGCATCTGCGATTTTCTCCCGAGAGAAAAGAATCGCCTGCGAGCTCGTACGACAGAAAAAATCGCACCGTGTACGGCCGCCTTTAGGGAAGGAAGTTGCTCTAGATGAAACACGGCTAGTTTTTAATAGTTTTACCTCTAATCTTATTTTTTATAATCCTTAGAAGTCAAAATAAAACATAAAATTTGCTTAATATCACAGCCACAGACCTAAAGTCTAAGCAGACGTTTGAATGTTTAGATCTTTCCTCTATCATAATTAAACAGGGCTTTCATGCTGTGTGCACTGAAGCTCCTCCGTGTGAGCGCGATCTCGCTTCTGAATTGCGAATAGCAAAAATGCATCATAGATAAATGTCTGAATATTATTGAATATAAAAACAGCTGGCGACTCTGGTGAGATAGGATTTGCAAGATAATGTCTATATAGCAATAACAAATGTATGCGTGTTTTCTTAATCTCTTCAGTACCGCCCGACTGACAGAACCGTTAACGTAACAGTTTATCGATACTCCGGCCTTTCATAATTTTGCCCCGGGACCCATTTAATACCGGGTTTCGGTACCCATCCCTAGTCATCGGTGGTGAAAGCCACTATCCGTGCCAAAGCCCTGTCCTACTGCTATTTTCAGAAATTTCCCTCTTGACATTTTTCCCTCTGGCAAAATTATCACAATGATGTTATGCTGAGAGATGCACTGCATGGTGTAAAGTATATTGTCTTTGTTACTAATGTATCTTTTTGGCTACTATGCAGTTTGAGCATGAATGATATTATGTACTCTCTACTCAACTACATTTTTGAATAAACATATGTACTCTTTATTCTACTATATTTGAAATTAAGACAACCTTTACTCATTACATTTACGTGTCCAAATCGCAGATGTTTAATTTATGTCATTAAGGTTCATCACTTCCCTACCTACATCTGCTTCTTGTGAGCGACGTTTTCATTCCAAAAAGAGCAAGAATGAAGGCCTAGAAATTTGAGAACCAGCTTTTATTGAAACTGAATAAAAATATGGCCACCCTCTGAGACTAAGACTTAATTTTACTTCAATTAATTGTATTTCATTCATCAGTTATGCTGAAGAGAACTTTTAAAGGATTTTGTTTTACTTGTTCCCTTTTTGAGCACTTTGAGCTTAACTGAGACTTAATTTGATTGAAATTGAGGTGTTCACTTTTATTTCTATTTTTGAAATAAACATGATTTCTCACAAATCAACTGTTTTTTTCACTGACATGTCTCATTGTGACTTGTAGCTTGTTTGTTCATTCACAGTCAGATATCTCTACTCAAGTATGGTTTGCAGGTACTCTTTACACCTCGCATTGCAGTTTTTTTTGTATCTCTTTGAAGGGGGAATGACCAGTTTTTGGATGAAAAGGATCCCGCAATGAAAGAACTGTCAGACCCTAAGTGGCTGGCAATTTTGGCATTTGTAGTTGACTACAAAACTACGGTGGCCGAGAAGTGCAGAACAAATCACAATTCTGAAAACAAAAGAACAAATTACAAACGCAAATGCAAGTCTAAAAAACAAAATAACAATTCAGAAAACACAACAACAATTCAGAAAACATTATAACAAGTCAGAAAACACAATGACAAATCTGAAAACAAATTAACAAGTCAGAAAACACAACGACAATTCAGACAAATCGGAAGAGGTAGGTATAGTTTGAGACAGTGCCATTGGTTTGGGATTACTCACCGCTGACTGGACGAGACATCTGTCAATCAACTTTGAATAATAAAAAATAGTTTATGGATAAAAATAGCACTTATCCATCTGCACCACTGGAGCTTATGTTTAACGGCCACTTTTAACTAAATGTAAATATACACTCCGTATTTTTTATTCCAGAGTAAGGGCAATTCATACAATACATTTAAACTGAGCTACTACATTATATTGTCAAACCATACTCAAGTATGGTTTGCAGGTACTCTTTACACCTCGCATTGCAGAGTTTTTTTTGTATCTCTTTGAAGGGGGAATGACCAGTTTTTGGATGAAAAGGATCCCGCAATGAAAGAACTGTCAGACCCTAAGTGGCTGGCAATTTTGGCATTTGTAGTTGACTACAAAACTACGGTGGCCGAGAAGTGCAGAACAAATCACAATTCTGAAAACAAAAGAACAAATTACAAACGCAAATGCAAGTCTAAAAAACAAAATAACAATTCAGAAAACACAACAACAATTCAGAAAACATTATAACAAGTCAGAAAACACAATGACAAATCTGAAAACAAATTAACAAGTCAGAAAACACAACGACAATTCAGACAAATCGGAAGAGGTAGGTATAGTTTGAGACAGTGCCATTGGTTTGGGATTACTCACCGCTGACTGGACGAGACATCTGTCAATCAACTTTGAATAATAAAAAATAGTTTATGGATAAAAATAGCACTTATCCATCTGCACCACTGGAGCTTATGTTTAACGGCCACTTTTAACTAAATGTAAATATACACTCCGTATTTTTTATTCCAGAGTAAGGGAAATTCATACAATACATTTAAACTGAACTACTTTAATACCATCTCAACACCTCACAATTCCATGTGCTGCGAGAGGTAATGGACTGTTTCCCACAGGAAATGTGGGCTTGTGGGAAAGTATGCAAAAGTGATTGAAGCCTTCTCTGCTGTGTTAGACTGTTGAAATTCCGAATAAAGGAAAGATTCCCCATACTTCGAGTACAAGGCATGAGGATGTTGAACCTCTTTGGGTCCACATATCTTTGAGAAAAGTAAAATATTAATATTTGTTACATCATCGTTTAAAATTTGTTGAGTTTATGTTATCCCGCCTCCTTTAAAAAGTTTGAACACCCCAGTTCTTGAGCATCAGTAAATGTTCATAATACTTGCGTAACTGAGTCCCTCAACTGTCCTCAGAGTGAAAAGCTGGATCTCAGCATACAGTCACTGTTGGAAAATTTAAAATATGCAGAAGGTGCTGAAAAGCCAAAGAATGTGCCGGACCTGGAGAAGGCAGTTTAACTTCAGCACTTCCGCTGTCTTATTACATGACATTGTCTTCGTACGGTTCCACAAATGTGAAGAACAAAGTGAATCTGGAACACTTTGCACTCTCACAATGCATGTTATGACTAGACAGACGTGAACGGCACCAAAATGTGCATTCCACATAATGGAAAAATGCACAGAATTTGTATATATGCAGATAACCCTAACTCCTCTAGAGCAACTCCAAATAGTGTCAACAAAGGATCTGGGTCTAGCTTGTGCTAAAGGACAGCCGAGAGTGTCAAATACAGATTGCCACACATACTCCAACTTGGGACCTGAATGTGTGCATTAGCAAACCATCTGCAAATCTCAGGGGGCTAGTTTCAGGGTCAGTTTTAGTTAATTTAACTTTGGACAGTGCTCAGTGCCCTACTTTACACTGAATGAGCAAGTGCCTAATAGGAGGACACAGTGAGTCTTCTGAAAGCGGCTGACCAAGGTCTTTGCCCAAAAATAAAATGTAACACTGCCGCTAGTACTTGTACTGTACTGTGCTTTTGATGTTGACCATTCCAAATATATGTCTAGAGATTTAAAGAAGCATTACATAATTTTGCAGTGTTTCCCCTACCATTGTTTCCCCTACCAAAACCACCCCCCGCCCCCCCTGAAAGAATGACAAAAACAAAACAAAAAAAGACGTGCAAGCTCCATGTATTATCTTTAGCGGTAAAAAATGCCGAAGAGGAATGGAGAAGGTGACAATCCTAAAAAGGTTTTTATTTCTTAAAAGCAACAAAATCCGGAGAAACAACTCAAGCAAAGCCATGCAGCCTCTGTGGAGATGCCACCTGACTATAGCAATCCAAATACAAGCTCCTTGCAACTTTTTGAGGAGGGAGCAAGAACCGGTGCTATTACCAAAAGCAAGCACCAGACTTCAGGGTGGGATCCTGCCTGGGTTGAAGACCCAAAATACAAGTCTTGGCTTTATAAAATAAACATAGGTAAGTTGTGCGATTTACATGTTACTCGTTTTCTTCATTAATACTTTAAGCTCCTGCGTTCAAGTCCTTCTGGGATGTTCGTATTTACGAGGTGGGAAGTTGTGTTTACGACGGCAGTGCGTTCTCTTAATTAATTACACAAAAATACAGCAAGTTTCTTAAACTCTACTTCTAGAAAATGAAGAGCAAAGAATGTGCATTAGGTGTGTTTTGCTTTTTCAGGGTTCCCACAGATCCTTAAAATGTCTTAAGTCTTAAATTAGATTTAAAAAATTTAAGGCCACAAAAAGTCTTAGGCCTAAGTCTTATATTTACTTATGAGAGGTCTTAAATTTTAGATGACACTTTGACTTAGACATATCTAAATCATTTATCGAATTAAAACTATCTACAGGTGCATCTCAATAAATTAGAATGTCGTGGAAAATTTCATTTATTTCAGTAATTCAACTCAAATTGTGAAACTCGTGTATTAAATAAATTCAATGCACACAGACTGACGTAGATTAAGTCTTTGGTTCTTTTAATTGTGATGATTTTGGCTCACATTTAACAAAAACCCACCAATTCACTATCTCAACAAATTAGAATACTTCATAAGACCAATAAAAAAAACATTTTTAGTGAATTGTTGGCCTTCTGGAAAGTATGTTCATTTACTGTACATGTACTCAATACTTGGTAGGGGCTCCTTTTGCTTTAATTACTGCCTCAATTCGGCGTGGCATGGAGGTGATCAGTTTGTGGCACTGCTGAGGTGGTATGGAAGCCCAGGTTTCTTTGACAGTGGCCTTCAGCTCATCTACATTTTTTGGTCTCTTGTTTCTCATTTTCCTCTTGACAATACACCATAGATTCTCTATGGGGTTCAGGTCTGGTGAGTTTGCTGGCCAGTCAAGCACACCAACACATGGTCATTTAACCAACTTTTGGTGCTTTTGGCAGTGTGAGCAGGTGCCAAATCCTGCTGGAAAATGAAATGTGTACATATTGTTTTTATAATCTTTTCTTTGTGGATTTGCTTGTTCACGTGACATTTCGCGGGCCTCGTGGCATTTCCGACAGCGTAAAACGCACCGTCTCCTGCATGCGAAAGGAAGAGAAAGCAGAAGAAAATGGGGAAATGTCAGTTAAGTAACAGTTGTAAGTTCATTATTTATGTGCGTAGGGATGTGTGATAAGCTTAGTCTATGATGATATCGTAATTAGCTTATTGTTTTAACGATGTGCAAGCTGACATTGAGTTTGTCACTTACGCTTTCACTGAGTGATATATGCAGTTATATGCCCTCAAAATTCAAGATACACAGGCATTTTGCCCCGATGAGTTTTTGTCTTATAATTAAATCTTTATATGATGTAGTTATATTACAATATCACACGAGCAAGAGTGTCGTTTTCCCCAAATCAGCACGATTGCAAATGTGATATTTATTTTATACAACAGTTAAATAAACAATATGTTAACATTGTGAGTTACATTATAGACTAAATTTTTTTTTCTTTATTTCGCCAATGAAAATTTCTAAATGAAGGACAGCAGAACAGAGTCAGAACAGAGAAATGTTTTTTTTTATAGTGACTGAATCCGTGTTTGAACGAATCAGTTGAATTAATGATTAAATTACCCATTCAATAAAGACGGTAACTTAAGTTTAAGTTTCTCTTTTATTGTCTCCCTTAGGAGAAATTTGTCTTAGGCAACCGGGAGAGCAGATCAAACATACCAAAAAAAAAAGAAAAAGAAAATTACACCATTCCAAAACATATAATTCCTATACAATCCTAGTAATACACCAACATTACATGTTACCCATCACATTACCCTCACCCACACAACAATTTCAATCACTTATTCAATAATTTGGCAGATAATGGAATTAGAGAAAATTTGTATCTTTTCAGCTTACAGATTGGAACCCTATATCTCCTGCCCGAGGGCATTAGCTCATACTCCTTATGGAGAATATGGCTTGGGTCACCAATAATTTTAAGACTCTGCTTCCTAACAGACCTCTCAAAAATGTCCTGAAGATAAAGTGGAGACAACATACCAATTATTATTATTATCACGTCGTTTGAACAAATCGGTTGAATGAATGACTCACTCATTAAGATAGTGACTTGCTGCCACCTACTGGCAGCTAAGTTTAATATTTAAAGTTCCTTTTTACTAAAAAGTTAAAATTAGAAATATTTTCATATTTAAATATTGAATAAAATTTATGTAGACAAATTGTAAACTCTGTGTAAATATATTAATGCCACTTTTCATGCTGCTTCTGTGTCACCTCTGCATTGCAAAGATGGATTTTGTTGATAATGATTTCATTTGATTGCTAAAAGCCATATACTATGCTAATATTTTATTTTAATTTGAATGTTAGAATTTGACATAAAAGGTAATGCATACATCCAATAACACCCTGCTTTTTAAGTTTTTAATTAATTTATAAAGCCACTTTAAACTTTAGTACTGTTATATTATAATGCTATCATATTTTGTGCAGGCAATTAGCTTACTTCATTGTAAATTGAAAATCCCATCAATATCACTGCTAAATACCTATAAATATTGTGAGATAATCACAAGCCGTCAACTAGTCTCTTCACTCCTGCTTGCTTCAGCACATGGCATAGTAGCAAAATGCTTCCCTTTGCTTATCTTCTATTACCATGCTGAATGCTGTTAGCAAGCAAGCTAATGTTAGCTGTTTCAATTAATTAAGGAATGTTCTGTAGCTTATGTCGGCAACACAAGAAGCCAGCTACAAGGGGTAAAGAGATGCGAGTCTCCCTGGGAGTCCTACAGAAAAGACAAGTTGGACAAACATGCATCCTCTGATCACCATAGAGCTGCCATGCAATGTCGTGTGGAGTTGATGAAAGGTGTCATGTCTATTTTAATTTCAGAACTGTATTTTGAAGTCTGTGTACTGGCTATCAATGCATGTTTGTTTAATTTTTCAAATGTTAAATAAAACCTACAGGCAACACTGTCACTGCCGCATTTGAACCAATGACTGTCCTAGAACATGAGGCTGTGATTGGGGGTTTTAAATGTCTATACTGGCTGGTTAAGCACGAAATTGCCCATCACACGAACTATACAGCTTTGCTTGACCTGCGTGTATTTTGAAAAGCTGAAGGTAAGAATTATGGATTTTAACAACACATGACAAATAATTTGCATGTCTATGCCTCAAGTTAGTAATTTATGGTTAAATTCTGTCATGATAAATGTAATTGTGAATTTGAAAAAATAATAAAATGTGTTAATGCCTTTTACTATTTTCATTGTGGCTATATTACTTTGTAATAACTTAATCCAAATGTTTGCATGCTTTTCAGGTTGGTCAGAGCACCAATTACAGGTTTCACAGGATCTATAGGGCCTTTCGCACCGTGGGAACCTTTTCATAGTACCAGAACTAATTGTGGAACTACCCACATTTTGGCGTTTTCGCACCGCCGGAACTGGGTGCGATTTTAGTACCGGACTGCCTTTTTTGAGAACCAAATTAGCTCCTACTCCGGAGCAGGGTCTATCCAGCACAACTGGTACTAATCGTGATGTAAGTAGACATTGATTGGCCAAACGCATATGAAAACGCCCTCACCCGCCATGATTTAAAACGCCGTGTAAATATACTGTAAACATTGTGTCAACTTATTTAGCAAGTATGGAGAACAGCGATAGATGGACGGACGCTTAAGTGCAGGCACTTGTAGCAAATGTAGCACTGCCAGTTGTCGTTGGAGATTCTTAGTCCTCCTTTCCGTTCTTTCAATCGCTTTACGTATACGTCGACATTCCATGTCCATTATTGTGAAACCCGTGAGACACAACAAAAACACAGCTCCGATCACAGCGTCCTCCATCCTCCTGTTGTTAATATTGTTCTTCTTTGTTTCTGTTGTTGAACGCCGCGCACAAATGACGTCGCTGTCGACCGGCTTACGTTACTTCTTAGTACACACTCTCGGTGCGAATGCAACCCTTTAAATGTTACTGGGAAATAGTTTGCGCAAAATCGTCCCAGTACTTTAGTACCGTACATTTAGTTCTGGAACTAAAGCCGTGCGAAAGGCCCTAATGATGACATGCTGGAAATTCTGGCAGCAGTCATTGAGAAACATATCCTGCAGGAGATCCAGTCTTCCCAAGCAGTGGGACTTGAGCTGGATGAAAGTACTGATGTGTCTGTACTTAAACAGTTTGGCATCCATGTCAGGTATGCAACCATCTAATTAAGCAGCATCTTTTTTAGGAATAAATAATCAAACTAAATAATGAATGCTCATCTCATCTTTGGTTTAGGGACTGACGGTGCAGCTGTAATGACAGGTAAAGTAAAAAATAAGACCTAAAAAGTCTTATTCACCTAACCCTACATTTAGAGTCTGTTCTAATAATAAAATGATTGTTTTTAATAAACTCTTTAAAAAAAACTTTTACAGGACGAAGAAACAGAGTGGCAAAACAACTGACAGACATTTGGCCATGGCTGCTTTGTGCGCACTGTGCTGCCCATAGGCTTTCACTGGCCTGTAAAGATGCAGCAGACAATGTGTCGTACATGAGGACCTTCAAGGAGATGCACTTGTACTTCAGAAACAGTGCAAACCACACTGCTGCCATGAAGTCAGCTGCAAATGCTCTAGGGATCACTGACCTGAAAGTCAAGGTGAGAAATGTTATGAATATTTCAATAATGCGAAATTTCCCATCTTGTCTCATAGCATACATATACTTAAATCAGTATCTCCCCGTCAATTTATCTGCTTTCTCTTCTTCATTGTCTAGGAGGTGAAGGATACTAAGTGGCTTTCACAACACCAAGCCATACTGAATCTGCAGAGAAACATTAGCGCAGTACTGGCAGTATTGGCTGAGGAGGCAGAAGTCAGGAAATGTCCTACAGCTTAAGGGCTGTATTCCTTCCTTGCCACATACCGCTTCATAGCTGCTCTTCACCTGCAGGCAGATGTTCTTCCACACCAGGCTTGTCTCTCCAAGATCTTCCAGAAGGAAGATGTGAACTTCCTGGCCATCAAGGAGCAGGTAAGTTCCATTGACCAAAACTACTGGTTCAACAGTTTGCAATAGCAAATATTTTGAAAGCTAAAGCAAGTGAGAGAACACTTTTGACTGAACATAATTTTAAATGTTTCAGGTTCCTGTCACAATGTCCTTGATCACAGCGATCAAGAATGCTGTTGATCAGCAACCTGCCGGCTCATGCTTGTCAAAGCTGAGCCAGAATTTGGATGACCCAGCCTGCTTGGGTCCTTTCGCCATTTCCACTGAGCAGGAGAAGGACAGGAGGAACCAACCAAAAGGTGGAGACAGGCAGCAATTCTGGAGGAGGTTTCGTTTGGAGGTAAGAATGAGAATGTAATAATTTCAAAAAGGTCTTTGATCACTTTTCCTTTTCATTCATGCAATACATTCATTCATGTTATTATCAGGTAATGGACCCTTATTTAGATGGCCTGATACGTTAGCTTGAGGTGAGGTTCCCTGACCTGGAGGTCTTTGCTGCTTTCAGTGTCTTGGGGCCACAGGCAGCAAGATCAACTGACCACGAAGCAGCTCATGCTCACCTGATGACCCTGGCAGGGAAATTCCTTTCGGTGGATGCCAGCACTGTTGTGGAGGAGTGCATGTCATTCATACAAAATGTCATCTCTGGTGCACTCCAGGTGAGACATTGAGATCTAGGCTGTCAGCAGTGGGTACACAAAATTATAAAAACTGCTAGCACATCTGCTTACCTTGTAACCCTATGCTTGCCATATGATTTCAAGACAAGACACAGCTACAGATCATGATGGAGTTGACCTCTAAATATGAGGAGTTTGGGGTCTCGTACCCAAACATCTGCCAGCTGGCTGCAATTGCACTGACTGTGCCTATCAGCACATGTAAACTGCGAGAGGGACTTACTTAAAACATGCATGCATTTAAAAAAACATGCTCATTTATGTTTAAATGAATTATGTGTTATGTGTCTTGTCTTCATCTGCTACTTGCAGGTGAAGACAGACCTCTGCAACAGGCTGCAGGGAAAGCATCTTGAGGCCTGCATGAGGGTGTCCCATCAGTGGTCCCCCAGTTGGGGACTTCCCAATTTTTTTTTCAAAAAGTCATAGACAGTGAATTGATCAGACAGTGAAGTGTGTAAATAGTTGTGTGATGTGTAAATAAATGTTGTTTATATTTATTTACCAAATTTACGTGCACTCTTGTCATTTTAGCTCACTCTAGAAATGCACCAATACAAACAACCGCCTACTGCGCGCCGCTTCTGTGACAACACCACGTATCCGTAAAACGCCCACTCCGCGACACTAGTAGTTTTGGGGGGTCTACCACCCCCCCTGAAAAGAATCCTAGAGGAAACACTGTTTTGAATTATATTTTATTTGTTCAATAGAAAAAGTGTTTTAAAAGGTGATTATAATGGCATGGAACACTGACAAAAAGGTACGTACGTAAACAATTTTTCTCTTCTAACTTTAACTTCAAATTTAGAAAGCTGCATGGTTGCTTGGAAAGAGTTCTCCCCTATGCAGATTGAGTTTTTATCCAAAAAACTGACCAAAACATTCATGCACAGAAAGCAAACAGAAACGAGGGCAGCCCTGTCGAATGCTGTGAAAACCATTAAATGATTTTGTGAACTGACGGGTTAGTAACAGGTCTAGTATTGACCTGAGGCTCAGTGGTACCTTGTACTAAAGGTAGAATGGATTACAAAAAGAGAAACATTTTAGATTGATCTTAGATTCATCTTTTTCGAGTGCTTCAGTTGGGATTAGAGCAAGTCAAGAAGCCAAAAAATGTGCAAAAATGACTGTGGTCACAAAATGACCTGCTTTGAAATCTGTGCCCAGTGTCAAGGCCCAGTTATTGCATGACAGAATGACTGAGCCTATATCAATATATAAACACATTCAAACATGGCCTGTTTGAGCAAATAAACAATCACTGCACCCACCCCACAAACAAATATTGCCAAATATGTTTGCAAAAATTAAGGAGTTTGTTCCTGCTTTACTTTGACTTTAAACACTAGGTCCTCTGCCTGTGTTTGATCGAAGAATAACAAAGCTGGCATACTTACCTCATAGCCAGTACTAAAGAGACTACAGCCCAAACAACATCAACCAGTATTTACATGAACTTTAATGCTGTATATGTTCCCACCCAGAGCCAATTACCGCCATGTTGAACTGAGGGACCTTGACATTTGTTCACTTGTCTAACTAGCCTGAGTGTGTTTACTTGCACAGCCCTATAAATTTGTGCAAGGCCATATACTCCTAATTTTTGTTATTTAATTTTTATTAATCAATTAACTTCATTAACTAAATCAAATCAACATTTGGTGTGACCACCTTTTGTGTTTAAAACATACGGTGACCGAGAAGTGCAAAACAAATCACAATTTTGAAAACAAAATAACAAATTACAAATGCAAATGCAAGTCTAAAAAACAAAATAACAATTCAGAAAACACAACAACAATTCAGAAAACATTATAACAAGTAAGAAAACACAATGACAAATTCGAAAACAAAATAACAAGTCAGAAAACACAACGACAAATCCGAAAACAAATGAACAAGTCAGAAAACACAACCGTTTAAAACATACGGTGACCGAGAAGTGCAAAACAAATCACAATTCTGAAAACAAAATAACAAATTACAAAGGCAAGTCTAAAAAACAAAATAACAATTCTGAAAACACAACAACAATTCAGAAAACATTATAACAAGTAAGAAAACACAATGACAAATTCGAAAACAAAATAACAAGTCAGAAAACACAACGACAAATCCGAAAACAAATGAACAAGTCAGAAAACACAACGACAAATCAGACAAACCGGAAGAGGTAGGTATAGTTTGAGACAGCGCCATTGGTTTGGGATTACTCACCGCTGACTGGACGAGACATCGGTCAATCAACGTATACAGGAAGAACCAGCCGAAGAACAGCAGAGTTGTGGTAGAAAGTTCAGAGATGGTATTAAAGTAGCTTGGTTTAAATGTATTGTATGAATTGTATGAATATAATGTTTTCTGAATTGTTGTTGTGTTTTCAGAATTGTTATTTTGTTTTTTAGACTTGCCTTTGTAATTTGTTATTTTGTTTTCAGAATTGTGATTTGTTTTGCACTTCTCGGCCACCGTAAAAACAACTTTTGTACTTGGTACACTTGCACATAGTTTTTCAGTTAGCTTTGCAGGTAGGTTTCTTCAAGTGTCTTAAAGACATTGCCACAATCCTTCTGGATTTAGGGGCTGCAATAATCATTTTGATAATCTTCCAATTTTCTTCAATCAATCAGATGAAAAATCCAAAAATTATTAGTTATTAAAAAAAAAAAAAATTCTAATTAAAATATTAAATTTAACACATTATTTTTAAAAAATTGTTACTCCACATCCTAACTGGTGTTGTCCCTAAACAATGTAGAATTTAAAAGCATTGAAAACTAATATAATGCATGCATGTAGGCTATGTGCAATTAAACATTTTGTGCAAAAAGGGGTTACAATTTAAACTGATTGCTAACCATTTGAAATTAGAATAAAAAAAATTCAATTAAAAGAGATAGTATAAAAAAGGTCACATATTAAATGTTAACTGGTACAAGGTGGGAAGAACACACATTAACTTAATATTTATACTCCATTACAATAGTACCTTTACTGTTACTGCTCTCACAAAATACAATTACTTGTGCTAGAAGTAGAATTTCAGACTTTAATGTCTAACCAGACATATTTTAGTCAAAATTATTGCACTCCTATTCTATTGCTCCATGTATTCATATGCACGCTAGCACTCGTTCACTGAAATCTTAAAAAAAAGAAGAAGAATGGAGAATTGCTTGCTATCAGGACGAGAATTTAGGACAGGGGTCGGCAACCTATGGCACCTGTGCCAACAGTGTCACGCAGAGGGATAATCACTGGCACATGAGCAATAGGGAAAACTGCATACCAACGTACATTTTGAAATAATCATTCCTCATAGTCACACAGCCTGTTAAGAGCTATAAATATTATTAAAGTGTGAGAATTAACCTGCGCTATTCTACAGATGCACGTGGCTCTGGCAAATCATTCGCGCCACCGCTGCGCATACTAATGTCTTCAGTAATGTCTTCAGATCAATGCAGTCAGGGGTCTAACAGTGCTTATCAATGTCAAAATGACTGAGACGGCCAATCAAATCAAAGTAGGCGTGGTTTACTGTTCACAGAAGCAGAGCGTGAATTCCAGCGCTAAGCGTCAGTTTAACGTTGAAAGAGAGCAAGGAAAGATGGAAGTTGCAAACCATTTAAAATGAGTCAAATGTTTTACAATAGAAATGTTAAATAATCGACAGCTACTCCATTTTTTTTTTCAAAAAGAGAGAGAGAGATTAATGTTGCATGTGTGAATTACCTGCATCCGTGTCTCTCTCTACAAACAATGAAGCTTGGTTTATTTACTTCAAAAATAGTGATTTTACCCCCTCGTTGCTGAGAAATATAATGTAGCGATTCGGTCAATGTTCGCCAGCTCTTAGAAGTTAAAAATCTGACACTTGAGTGCTGAAATTGTGGATGTGTGGAAGTAATGTCTAAGAAGTTAATAAATATAGATGTAATGAAAATTATTGATGTTTTTTTTTAGTAGATTTTGGATAAGATTAAATATTAAGTAATGTTCCTTAATGGGAATCATGTTTTATTAAATCCATAACTTTTTGTATGTTTAAAACAAATCATTTCTATTAACTTGTATTTTAAAGAATGAGAAATAATTGTTTTATTAAATCTATATCTATTTGATTGGATAAAGCAAATCATTTCTAATACATATTTCTTAAATGAGAAACACTTGATTAATTAAATCTATATCTATTTGAATGGCGAAAACAAATACTTTCTAATATTATTTCTTAAATTATAATTTTTGTTTTGATTAAATCTATTGCTTTTTGTTTAGATCAAAACTAGAATTTATTCAACAAGAAAAAAATATACTTTGTGCCAGGTTTTATAAAATAAAAATAGTTTTCATAGACAAAGAAAATATTGTTTAGGGCAAGTTATTTATTTTTAATTGGCTCATGTCATAAAATATAGATGTGAACCATTACTCTACATTTTTTTAATTGGATGAATTAATTTTTAGTGCAGTCTTGATAAAGTCACGGGGCAGTGTTTGCAAGTTTCTGTGCTCCTGAATGTTTCTGTGTGTGCAGCACGTTCTCCGATCTCTGTGTGCGAGTGATGTGTGTGTCTGTGTCAGTTAAAGCAGAGAACGGTTTATAGAATATAGAACGGTGATTAAACTGAATGGTTTTAATTCACAATTTGCCTTGTCACACACATACATACAGTGGTGTTCAGTAGGGTCACACTGTAAATCTGTTATTCAAAGTCTAATTTAAACATTAAAATAACAAAACTTTTAAAGTTTAAAAAACTATTTATGAAAAAATGCGTCAGAAACTATTTAACTAAGTAATCAAATATAGATTTATATCTGAACATTTTAAAATGCTTATGCACTGTATAAATACAGCATGCATTAAAAAAAAACAATGTGTATGGGGTGGTATTGGCACAGTGGTTAACCAGAAAAATTAAAAATGGCACTTCATGCCCAAAAGATTGCTGACCCCTGCTTTTTAGGATCTTCAAACTATTTTATATTATAATACAAGTAGAGGTCGGTCGCCGTGATTTTGCCAAGTAAGACATGTTCCTGGATCAACATTACTGTCCAAAAATATAGACTTAACCCAATCCCCACCCTTAAACCTAACCCTACCAATAATTTATTCCTAAAATCAGTGTGAAATGATAGCTGATTAACAAGGGTGTAGAAGCGCCTAAACCTGATTGTAAGCCTAAAACAGACATTTCCTGAAAAGTTATCCCTCAATTCTGATTGGTTAATTGGAATGTTGTTCCAGGATCAACAAGGATGTTGATCCAGGAACATGTTGTACTTGGTGAAATCATGGTCACCGTAGAGGTCAAGACTTGATGGGCGAGCGCAGGTGGGTAGACACTTGTGTGTGCGGGATGCGGGAGAATAAAAAGATTTGCGGGACTCCCGCAAAATAAAAAATATCGAAACATAAAATATCTAAAAACAAATATATTGTTCTTCATCTACTGCACAAAAGCAACAAGAACAACTAATATTAAATGAAAGCAATTAACAGGCGCAAACATAGGCAGAGTTTCTTTAACACGTGCTTGCAGCGTTGAGTAATGCTGCCAATCACAGACATATCTGTTGATTTCTGGAACACAATGGCCAATCAGAGGTGTTTAAGTTAGAATCCACTCACCGCTCAAAACGCCGGAGTTCTTATACAGTGCTGAAATTTGCGTTCCCACGAATCTTCTCATTATAACACACGAAGTTTAGACATTGTGAAAGATTCATTGTGTTATAACAGAGCTTTGTGAGATCGCGATGAACTGAGATGTCAGATTTTTAGTGATTATAAAGGGAGCGCTCTTTGCTCGCATTCTGCCAAGCAGCCTATGCTTGCTTTTCTGTTAAAAAATAACTTTAATTACAAATATTTTATCGGGAGCGTTTATGCTGTTGTGGCTAGGTGACACGGAACTAAATGTGAATTTCATGGATGTACTGAAAATAAATCTATATAGGCTACTTTTATGCGGGCTTTCGCGAGCGGGATGAGATAACATATTTCTGCAGGTGCAGGACAGAATCCTGTGGAAGCTGGACTGAAAAATCCATCCTGCGCAGGTCTCTAGTTTAAGCAAAACCCACACTCCTAAGTTTACAAAATAAAGTTGCATAGTAATTTGAGGGTATTAAATCCTTATGGTGGCAGTACAGCTCATTTAACAGCACTATAGTTAAGTTGTATTTAGTAAGGAGCAGTTTGGTTTCTATAAGTCTCTTTCTTTCTCTAATGAATCCAGACAAAGTGGAGACGAACATGTTAAACTTTCCACAGTAAAATTACTTCATCATCATGGTTCCATGGCTTCATCTGACAGTGGGAATGTTGCAATGTCAACATGTGTTTTGTTCACATGATCACTACAGCTTAAGATTGAAAGAAAATACACTATACAGTTCAAAGGTTCAGTGAAAATTCTAGCACATAAAAAAAAAAAAAATAGAAAACGGTTATCTTGAGTTTTTTTTACTGTATTTATTTTTTATCAAATAAATGCAGCCAAAGAGACTTCTTTCAAAAAAATCATGGTGACCTCAAATAGATTTCACACTGGACATCAGGTGGAGAGACAACAAAGTACCAAAAATGTTTACTGTACAAATGTAATCAGAAATATCCTTAAAATTAATCACACAAAGACGGATGACAGAAGCCTGAAATTTCCAACCAAACTGAACTCAACAGCTCTGTATTTAAATCATTGTAACATGTTTACCATAAGATAAGAACAGAGTTTTAAACATGTACTAGTACATTTCATTTCCAATAAAAAATTAAACAAGATAATCTTCCACAGTCAAACTGAAATTATATGCGAGTATAAATGAAAACAAATGATGTGTGTGCAACATTCATTTCACACAATGTTATCTATGTAGTACATCTAAGGATACGTACTCTATGTGTGTGAGGA